ACCCCTAATCTGCTCTTCTTACATCTCAAAAGTCATTAGGTTTACGCAGGGACATAAGGAGGGTAAGGATGGCCCAGGGGTGATCTCTAAATTGTGCCCCACCCCCCTCCAATTTCAGGATGGACACTGATGTCGGCTACGGGTTGGCAGAAATGCCTTCCCAGTAGGTGTCCTGCATGGATGGGTTCATCCTTCCCCAGGTGGAGTGTGTAAAGGAAACTCTTGCCAAGCTGCCCCTCCCTCTTGCCCTTGCTCCTCCCACCACGCAGGTGGATTGGAGAGAGCCCAAGGCTATGTTCTTGGATTTCGTGGCCTCTTTGGCTCTGACACTGCAGAACCTTGGGTAAGTGACACAGCCTGTTTGTGAAGAGCAGCAGGAGAGCTCCGTTCCTGGTCGCCTGAGTCAGGGTTCACCAGGGACTACAGTGAGCCCTGTCACCTCAGATGACTCCCGTCCCCACAGTTCTCTGCCAGGTTCATGGACCTGAGTCCCATGGTGAAATCCACACGTGAGGCAGGTGCATAGTGAGGGTAAGGAGCGCCCAGGTGTAATCTCTAAATCGCTCCCCCTCCCCGCCCCCAGTTTCAAGATGGTTAGACAATGAAAGCGCAACCTGTCAGCAGAAACGCCTTCTCCTCTCTTGTTCGGCTGCCTCATTCAGGAGCTTTTCATATTTGTGATGCCTTGGAATGTCATTCTGCGCCTCTGGCGCCCCCTTGGGCTTGTGCCTGGGGGGTGGGGGGCAAGTGCCCCTCTCTGCTCCTCCCTCCCCCCGACGCCTCTGATCAGGGGAGGAGGTTCTGCAGCCCCACACGTGCTGGGCAAGGCCTCACAGGCTGGGGGTGTGTTTCTCATTCCATCTCTGTCCCCATCTTTTTTTTTTTTTTCCTCATATGAAAACTTATACATACATTGTTATGTGACTCTAATTGCTCTCCCCGTACTGTGACAGCACACTCCTCCTTTCCACCCGATTCCCCATGTCCATTCAACCAGCTCCTAACCCTCTCTGCCTTCTCATCTCACCTCCGGACAAAAGCTGCCCATTTAGTCTCTTGTATCTACTTGAGCTAAGAGGCACACTCCTCACGAGTATCATTTTATGTCCCACAGTCTAGTCCAATCCCTGTCTGAAGAGGTGGTCTTGGAAATTGTTTTAGTTCTGGGCTGATAGAGAATCCGGGGGCCATGCTTTCCGGGGTTTCTCCAGTCTCAGTCAGACCATTAAGTCTGGTCTTCTTACTAGAATTTGAGTTCTGCACCCCACCTTTCTTTTGCTCCATCTGGGGCTCTCTGTTATGTTCCCTGTCAGGGCGGTCATTGGTGGTAGCTTTTAAGACCCCAGATGCCACTCACCAAAGTAGGATGCAGAACATTTTCTTAATAAGCTTTGTTATGCCAATTGACCTAGATGTCCCCTGAAAGCATGGTCCCCAGACCCCTACCCCTGCTACTCTGTTCCTCAAAGTGTTTGATTGTATTCAGGGAACTTCTTAGCTTTGGTTTAGTCCAGTTGTGCTGACTTCCCTTGTAGTGTGTGCTGTCCTTCCCTTCACCTAAGATAATTCTTACCTACTATCTAGTTAGTAAATAACCCTCACCCTCCCTCCCCATCCTCATAACCATCAAAGAATCTTTTCTTCTGTGTTTAAACCTTTTCTTGAGTTCTTATAATAGTGGTCTTATACAATATTTGTCCTTCTGTGACTGACTAAATTCACTCAGCATGATGACCTCCAGATTCCTCCATGTTATGTTTCATAGCTTCATCGTTGTTCTTTATCATTGCGTAGTATTCCATTGTGTGGATATACCATAATTTGTTTATCCATTCCTCCGTTGATGGGCACCTAGGTTGTTTCCATCTTTTTTACTATTGTGAACAGTGCTGCAAAGAACACAGGTGTGCATATAGGTATTTGTGTGATGGCTTTTATTTCTCTAGGATACATTCCAAGGAGTGGGATAGCCAGATCGTATGGTACTTCTATTTCTAGCTTTTTAAGGAAGCGCCAAATCGATTTCCAAAATGGTTGTACCATTTTACTTTCCCACCAACAACGTATAAGTGTTCCAGTCTCTCCACAACCTCTCCAGCATTTATTATTTTGTGTTTTTTGGATTAATGCTAGCCTTGTTGGGGTGAGATGATATCTCATTGTAGTTTTGATCTGCATTTCTCTAATGGCTAATGATCGTGAGCATTTCTTCATGTGTCTGTAAGCCACCTGAATATCTTCTTTGGCAAAATGCCTGTTCATATCCTTTGCGCATCTTTTAATTGGGTTATTTGTCTTTTTGTTGTTGAGGTTTTGCAGTATCTTGTAGATTTTAGAGATTACACGCCGATCGTATTTGTCATAGCCAATAAGTTTTTCCCAGTCTGTAGGTTATGTTTTGACTTCTTCGGTGAAATCTTTTGATGAGCGTAAGTGTTTGATTTTTAGGAGCTCCCATTTATCTAGTCTCTCTTCTGGTGCTTGTGCATTGTTACTTATGGTTCGTATTGTGTTTATGCCATGTATTAGGGCTCCTAGTGTTGTCCCTATTTTTTCTTCCATGATCTTTATCGTTTTCAATCTGCCCCCATCTTTATGCATGTGGCAGACCTGTGGGGCACCTGGCTGCTCAACTGCTCATTAGTACAAGAGAGGAAGTTTCAAGAAAGTGTAAAGAGAGATGAGATTGTGCCCCAAAAGTTTTAGCATAGGGAGAACTAGGAGTTTCTACACTTACTTCACAAAAGGGCTTTGCACGTGGCACCTAAGAGCATTGGAATTCTGAGCAGTGGGTGGCACAGTTCAGCAGTTAGAACTCAAGAGACTACAGATGGCAACAGGAGTCATCTGTTCTTCTCTCCCCCAGCTCCATTAGTGAATTTGGAAACAAGGTTGGCAACTGCTGCGAATCCCTTCACATGACCAGGATTTGAATCAAGCACCTCCCAGGGCATGTGATTCTGGGCAAATTGTTTTATCTAAGTCTTAATTTCCTTGTAAAATGGGGGATGATACTGGGATAACTTGTTATTGTGAAGATGAAATGATATAATTAACATCAAGCATGGATATTGAACCTGAACATAGCAGGGGAGTTGTTTCATTCAGTAACAAACAACTAAAGCCTACTGTGTGCCAGGTTCTGTGCTAGGGGCTGGGCTCTCTGCCCTTCTGTTGCTTATAGGACACAAGGGACTCTGGCAACCAATTGCTGTGTTGGAAGCCCAGGGCTCCCATTCACTAGCTGGGTGATCCTGGGCAAACATTGATTTCCCACTTCATAGGGTTGTGAGAATTACATGAGTTGACACATGCAAATGTACTTACAGAACCTACTAAGTGCTCAGACACTCAGACATGTGACTGGTGGAATGAAAGGAGCTGGGGGTGTATATAACAGGCAGACCTGGCCTGGCCTGGCAGGTTGGGAAAGGGCTTCTTGGAGAAGAAGCTGTTGAGGCTGCAGGATGAGGAGGCCCAGCAAATGGGGTAAGGGTGGGGAAAGGAGGAGGAAGTTCCCAAGGAAAGAAAGAGCAGGATGTGCTGGATGTGGAATGGAGGCTGCGAAGGTGAGAAGTGAAGAGAACGGGTGTGAGATGAAGCAGAGCAGCAAGCCAGCTTTAGGAGTTGGGGCACTGGGAGTTCCTGTCAAGGGTTTTAAGGAAGAGAGTGACATGTTTGAGTGTGCAGTTTTTGTTTTGTTTTTCAATTGTGGTACCTATGTATGTCACAAAACATCTACCATTTCACAATTCTTAAATGTACAATTTAGTGACATTAGTTGTATTCATCATGTTGTGCAAGCATGCCCAGATTTGCCATTTTAAAGTATCTATTCCCCTTTTTGAAGAGTCCCTGGGTGGCACAAACAGTTAAGCCCTCAACTACTAGCCAGAAGGTTGGCCGTTCGAATCCACCCAGAGATGACTTGGAAGACAGGCCTGATGATCTGCTCCTGAAAGGTCACAGCTTTGAAAACCCTAGGGAGCAGTTTTACTCTGCACATACTCACACACTCAATGGCAACTACAGCAACAATTCCCCTTCATAGATGTGGGAACATGGCACAAGTTTGTCTTATTTATTAGTGTACCCCCAGCACCTAGCACTGAGGTTAGGGTCATTCCTTGCTGACTTCTAGCCCCTGTCCCCTTCTCCAATATCATCCTCACCCTCACTCCCCACTGCAGTGATTGTCAGCCCGCTAGCTTTCAGATCCTCACTTAGGGTCTTTGCTGGCCCTCTCCAAGGAGGGAGGTCAGGACTTAGGAAGGACCCAAGCCTGGGGCACCTACATTCTCCCAGCCCACACACCCATCTTTGTGACATGATGGAATCAAGTGTGCCTGGGTTTGAATTCTTTGGCAAATAATTTCTCCAGAGTGCTGTGAACATTCAACCACAGTACAGCACCCAACATAGCGCCTGATTCATAGCATGTTCTCAGTAAATACACCTTTTGCCTCTATCCTCCCGAAACAAAATCTTCTCTCTTCCCCCATCCACAGACTGGGAGGGCAAGAAGGGGTGGTGATGGCTAGGAATGGACTCATAAGCAGAGGAGAAAGTGGGTTTTTCACCTACAACTCCATTTGTAAAGGGGCAAACTGTTCGGTCCCGCAACTCAGAGTTTCGGCGTAGGGGAGCGGGAGAGCCCCTTTGCCGGCTTTCCGCTGTAACCTGCAGGAAGGGTTCCGAGGGACTGGGCGAGGCGCTGTGACTCTGCATGGAGGGCAGAGGGCACCGAGCTACGCGCACGTGGAGAGGAACTGCTGGGTCATACCACCCGGTTTAGGAGCGAAGAACAGGGTGAAGGCTGGGGGGGGGGGTATTTCTGCAAATCTCAGGGACCCACGCCCTGGAGGCGGCGGAGGAGAAAGTCCACAGCCCTGACACTTTTAGGCGTGTGAGAGGAGGGTTACATATATATCCATTGCCGCCTGAATGAAGTGCCCCCCACCCACGCTCCTCCGACCCCTACCCGGGGCGCCCAATCCTACTTTCGGTGCGCTCCGGAAGCCTCCGGGGCAGCCGGGAGGCGGGGCTCGTCCGCCGCCCGCCCCTTTGATGTGCGCCGGCGCCGCTATGATTGGACAGTCGCTTGTGACGTGCGGGGACTGCGGTGGGCCCGGGTGCTGCAGCAGCCGCAGCGCCGGCGGCAGCTCGGGCTCCGGCTCCGGCTCCCGGGCATTTAAAGGGGACGCTGCGGCCGCCCGGGGGGATGGGGGGCAGGTGGAGGGGACGGCCCAGGAGCACATCGTCCACAGCCCCTCGGGATTGGAGGGACTCGTGAGCCGGAGCCCCAAAATCCAGGGGTGGATAAGACACCGCGTCCCCTCCAATTCCCGTAAGCACCTCTTGCTCCATCCTGTGCCCAAATACCTCAGCTAGTCCCCCCCCCCCCACTTACGCTTAAAACTCAGCCGGGACAGATCGCTGCCATCACCGCTCCCAACGTGAGTCCCGGGCTCTGGAAGGTAGGGAGAGGCTGGGGTCCCAGGTACGGTGGGGGCTGTGTGGAGTTTGAGGGCGCTCCTTCACGCGAGTGTCGGTGGAGGATCCCCTGGAACAGACGAGTGAGTCCCTTTCTTTTCTCTACCCCGGGAACATGGTGCCCGGGTAGCTCTCAGTCCCCAACTCAGGCAAAGCGAAATCTCGTTCCTGGGGCTAAGGAATTGGTACCCCCTTGCGCCTTGCCACCCACGAATCCCCTCCTCTCCCCGAGCTGCGCACCCCCTTCCCCTGCATTGGAGCGAGGCACCCGCCAAGCTGGGGCTGTGCCACAGTGCCTGCTTTCCAGCCACTTCTAAAAATAACTCCCCCCAATCCTGCCCAGAGTTGCCACCTCCCTGCCCCTGCCCATCGAGCCTCCCCTGCCCCAGTTTGTCCCAGCCAGGCAGGGCGAGCCCGGAGGTGACTCTCAGCCCTAGCTTCCTCACTGCACCAGGGCTCCAGATCATCCCCACCAGCTAGTCAGCCCCGCAAGCTCACAACCCAAGAAGGTCTTTAGGGCAACGGGGGGAAGAAGCTCTGGCTGCAGTTTTCTCAAGAGCCACCTGAGAGCCCTGAGTTCTAATCCTGATTCTGATGCTGTGTGACTCCCGTGATGTTAACTGGACCTCTCTGGGCATCTGTTTTTCCTATCTGTTGCGGGGGATGGTGAGCAAGAAAGAGACCATAGTAAAGTTGGTGGGACTGTCTGAGAAAGGCAGGAATTCCAGCTTAGCAGTTGCGTCTGATTTCTAGTGACAGGAGAAGTGACTTGGCTTGGGCAGAGGACTTGTAACTGTGGTATTTCTAGGATCCTCTCCCCCCATCCCCATTCTTAACATTTCCTGTGGAAAACTGTCCTGTGGCTCCACCCACCCAATAAAACAGGAGGATTTCAAACTTATGGCCTAGCCAAAGAGGGGCCCAGTTCCCTCCCCCATCCCCAGGAGACCTTCCCACCCCATTCCCACAGATTTAATCTAAGAACATTTGTATAAAAGGCAGGAGGAAGCAGAGAGGGATTTGTGATTGGATATAGAATCAGGGAGGGTCTGCTTTTAATTGGGACTGAAATATGGAATCTCTTGCACCTCCCAGAAACCTTTCTATCCTCTCCTTGCTCTAAGCCTGCAGGGAACGCTCAGGTCCTGCTGGCCTTTTCTCTGAGAGACTCTTTCTGGTGACCACAAGAGGATTTGATCACTCGAGACAAAGCTGCCAGAGGTGAGTAAACCTGTTGGAACTTTAAGGGAGCCAGATTCCTACTGGGGACCAGGAGGGAATGACTTGGTCCCTCTGACTACTTGCGGGCTGGTATCACAGCATGGTCTGCTCCATTGTGGGGAGAAGAAACCCAGAATGCCTGGCTTTCTGCTTTGGAGACAAAAAGAAACAAGGGCAAAGTAATGAGACCTTCTTTATGGCATGAAAGTGGGTTTCTGGGTGGCTGCTGGAGATCACTTTGTGTCTTTGTATCTCACTTCTCCATGTGCCTGACACGTGCCTGTCCATGTTTGCTTTTTCAATGGGAGTGGCATCTCCAACCTTTCTCCTCTGACTAGGCTGGCTGGCCGGACATGTAATATCACCCAGGATTTTGGAAGACTGGGCCTGGAGACAATCTTCCCACACCCCACAACACATGCCATTCCCTTGTGCCCCATGCCTCCCTTCCTTTCTCTCCCATCTTCTCCTGGACTCGTGTCTCTTCCAACCCCCTTTCTCTCTCTTTGCCCACTGCCCCATTCAGCTTGGGCCTCTTCTCCCAATTCCTAGCTCAAAAGTTCTTCCGTGAAAGACTGAGCCTCACGTTCTGTCCTTACTGAAGCGTTTTAATGTGTGTGTGGTCAGCGAGTTGTGAGGGATGGGGTACCCCAAGATAGAGGGTGGTAGAGCACCTCCACCATCCTGTGCCTTACTCCTTGGATGTCCCAGTCTCTGTTCTGGGGTCCGTAACTTTTCCCTGCTGCCCTGGGCACAAGAGTGGTCCAGGGAGAGTCACCTTGACAAAGTCAGAGAGGTTTGATGTGACGCCCATTGTCACCACCAGAGGGCAGCAGCCAGCCAGACCTTTGCTTCTTTCCCGGTCTAGTCTCCTCATTCCCAGTATCTTTCCAGTTCTGTCCCAGCTGCCTCCTCTAGTTCAACCTGGGAGTGGAGGGATGGGGGAGCAAGGCTAGTGGCAGCTGTAAGTGGTATCCTTTGTAGCTGCATTGGGAAGGTCCCAAGAAGGCAAACCCTATCCCCAAAGTCCGTCAGAGATTTAAACCTGACTCTCCACTGCTGGACCCCTGAAAGCAGCTGTAGGACCCAGGGGTCCCAGCCCCCCGAGCTGTGCTTCAGTAAACCCTGGCCATCTGCCCCTTCGCTTTGGAGGGCAGAGGGAAGGCAAGACTGTGGCCAGACATTCACAAACCAGCCTCTGACTGGCCCAAACAGCATGGCTTCAGGCAAGTTACTTAACGTCTCTGAGCCTTTGTCTTCTGCTGAATTCAGGCAACTGTGATGAACACACCAATGAAGGTGCTTTGTAAACTGGGATGTACCATACACATGTAAGGGGTAATGAGCATACCACTGGTCTTGGACTCGGATCTGATTTTGAGATCTGTCTGTGTCACTTACAGTGGGTGACCTTTGGGCAAGTCAGTTAACCTCTCTGGGTTTCCGATACTATCATCCATAACATCCCTAGCATCATAGGGGATTGCTAAGAGGATGCTTTGCAGTCTGTAAGTGCTCTGTCTTTTGAAAGGGTTGTTTTTACTGAGACCCTGGGAGTGGTTCCTGGGGCTCAGCAGAGGGGAGGGAATAGGCCTGGGTGGGCATTAGTGGTGGATGCAAAATCATCTGGCTGGTCACCTCAAATGGACCTTGTATGGTTGTCAGGAGCTCTGGACAACAGCTAGAGGCCAAAAGCGTCCCTACAAGTGGTGCCCAGGGTGATGTACTGACAATGAGCGGGTGTTTTCCAGTTGCTGGCCTCCGATGCCTATCTAGGGTAAGTGAGTCCCCCCAGGGGTCTCTTGGGATGAGGTCTCAGATCCCACTTTCTCATCATGTTGTTGGGGGAGCCCTATCCAGCCCCTTTGAGTCCTGCCCTCGCCTCCACTGAGGCTCCACTAATCCCCAGAAGCTTCCATCCCAGGTGTGGGACCCTGATACTTCTCAACTCCAGGGATTCCTGGGCCACTGAGACTCCCAGCTGGATATTGGTGAGACCAGAGGGTGACTCCAGTGACGAAGTCAAACGGACTTTAGAAGGCAGATAACCCGATGCTGTCAGGTGGATTTCTGACTCATAGTGACAGAGTAAACTACCCCATAGGGTTTCCAAGGCTGTAGTCTTTACAGAAACGGACTGCGACATCTTTCTCCTGTGGAGCAGCAGGTGGGTTTGAACTGCCCACCTTTCTCTTAGCAGCCGGGTGCTTAACCATTGTGCCATCAGGACTCCTGGGAGGCAGATAAGTCAGGTTCAAATCCCAGCTCTGGAATTAGGGGCTTGGGCTTCTATTTCACAAGGTGTGCCAGGCCATAAATATCCCAGGAATACTGGAGAGGGTGTTAGGAAGAAACCAGAAAGAGGATGGCTCTGTCTCAATTAATTGGGGTGGGAAAGGGAGAAAGGCAGTGTGGTGGCCATTCAGAAGCTGTACATGTACTCTGCCTCTCTGACATGCACAGCTGCTGGCAGGCAAAGGTGACAGGGACAGGCTACTGAGGGCTCCTGCTGTCTCCATTTGCTTGCCTTTGTGGCCTCACACTTGCCCTTTTGTCTCCAGTCGTCTCCCATGTCCCCTGTCAACATGACTCTGGCCAAGGTTTCCACTTCCTGGGAGTCCTCCTCCATCTTCCTGTCTAGCTATCTGTCCCCATGCTCCCCTGGCACAACCTCCTCCTGCCTTCTCCTTCCTCACCACTGCCTCACCACCCCACCCCCCATCTCCCTACTCCCTGCGCCCTCATCCCCTGCCTTTTCAGCCACAGTTGCTGTCTCTCCTCTCCCTTCCCTGTCTCCCAGGTATGCCGTGGCCTGGTGTGGGAGGCTCCCACCTCCCCATGCCCCACTACTTCTTCTGCTGCCCGCTTGCTTCGGACCCTGGCAGAAACCCCACTCGCTGACACATCCCTCCCAGGGAATTGGCAAGTGATTAGTGATGAGCTGTCAGCACAGGGCCCTGAAAATCCCTGGGGAAGCTGTGTCCCTTCCCTGGACCCCAGCCCAGCACCATCTGCCTGGAAGCAGCTCCCAGAGAGCCTTCCTGGGTCTTGTGTATTCAGTCCACTTACCTGGTTATGCCAAGGGCTCCAATCCAGTTCTCTGGTCAGTGGGGAGGCCCAGACACCTAACCACCCAAGCCTGGTACTTAGTGCCCATCTCCCGCCTGTGGACCTGGCTCTCATTTGTGCACGGTGCCTTGGCTGATGCCAAAGCCATCTTCCCTGGAGCCTGGCTCCTTGTCCACAGTCCCATAAGCCATCCACTCCACATGGCCCAAAAAGGGAATGAGGAGCTGCTCCAGCTGGGCAAATGGGTGGTTTCCCTTAACTCTGTTTGTGTTAGAGGAGGAGGGAGTGGAGTGTTCCCTCCACCGGCCCTTATCCACGCCAGCAACAGGGGGCCACTGGGAATCTCCAAAAGGGCTATTGCAGAAACCTCCCCAAAGGAGTGATCCCTTGAAAGCTGCTCTTCCCTTCTTATAAGCTCTTCCCTTGCCAAGCCCTAGTGACCCCAGATGAGAGCAGCAAAACAGGTCCCAAGGCAGCTCTTCTGGGTTTAGGTGTAGGATGCTCCACTGGGCAATACACCCCAGGGCAGTGGACTAAGAGGTGCCAAGGGGGTGGGCAGGGAAGGTCAGCAGGGGTCGCGGGGAGGGGGAGGGCGTGTGAGGTACTCAGCCTAGCTTAACTGGTCTTGGGTCCTCCTCAGGTCTTGGATATGCCAGCGCCTCTGGCCGTGGCCTGCTAACCGGCCTCTTCCCGGCCGGCTCCCGCCGCGCCCCCTCTCGCTTGCCCCTTCCTCTTTCTCCTGCTCCTCCCCCCCCTGCTCCCAGGACAGCGGGATGGCTGCGCAGGGCGCGCCACGCTTTCTCCTGACCTTCGACTTCGATGAGACCATTGTGGACGAAAACAGCGATGACTCGATTGTGCGCGTCGCGCCGGGCCAGCGGCTGCCAGAGAGCCTACGTGCCACCTACCGTGAGGGCTTCTACAACGAGTACATGCAGCGCGTCTTCAAGTACCTGGGCGAGCAGGGCGTGCGGCCTCGGGATCTGCGTGCCGTCTACGAAGCCATCCCCCTGTCGCCCGGCATGGGCGACCTGCTCCAGTTTGTGGCCAAGCAGGGCGACTGCTTCGAGGTTATTCTCATCTCGGATGCCAACACCTTCGGCATAGAGAGCGCGCTGCGCGCCGCCGGCCACCACGGTCTGTTCCGTCGCATCCTCAGCAACCCGTCGGGTCCAGACGCCCGGGGGCTGCTGACACTGCGACCATTCCACACGCACAGTTGCCCGCGCTGCCCCTCCAACATGTGCAAGCACAAGGTGCTCAGCGACTACCTGCGCGAGAGGGCCCACGACGGCGTGCACTTCGAGCGCCTCTTTTACGTGGGCGACGGGGCCAACGACTTCTGCCCCATGGGGCTGCTGGCAGGCGGCGACGTGGCCTTCCCGCGTCGCGGCTACCCCATGCACCGCCTCATCCAGGAGGCGCAGAAGGCGGAGCCCAGCTCCTTTCGCGCCAGCGTGGTGCCCTGGGAGACTGCCGCTGACGTGCGCCTCCATCTGCAACAGGTGCTCAAGGCGTGCTGAGGATGGCGGCCTTCCGGGGTTGTCCCGGGCGGATCGGCGGAGGAGGGGACGGGGGGCAGGGTTTGGGAAAGACAAACCTAGTTTTAGTACTCCCTTTTCCCTTTCGCTTCGGTATGTCCCTCGGGACCGATTTCGGGAATTCCGGGCTTGTCCGTTTGCGGGGGAGGAGAGGGTTCGGAGCCATCCCTATCTATGCAGTTAAGCCAGGTTAACTTCCCTAGTTCCGCTGCACGCAGTCACATTCTGAAGTCTGCTTAACCCGGGTGGTGCGCATATCTTGGAAGACAGCAGCGTTTCCAAAAACCTTGCCCTCTGATTTGGGAGGAAGGGGTTCCCCAGCAGGGGGGAGAAGGAACATTTCCCACTGCTTTAACTGCTGCCTCCGGCCCCTAACTTCCCCTTCCCCAGTCTTCTGTCAAGAAGACCCAGTGCTCTGAAATCCTCAAAGTGACCAGCCACCCAATGGCCCCACTGGACTCTCTCCGCCGAAGGCCCCAGGCTTCTTCGATCTTACTTCACCCACTACGGTCACACACTATTTCTGTACGGGCAACACAGTTCTCTGCTTGCCTCGGGTCCTCCGCCCACCATCCAGCACCCCCAAAGGGAAAAAAAAAAAGCCGGAGGAAACAGTCGCCTCTTGGTGGTGGAATGAGGTAGCGCACCGTCCGGCTCCGGTCCCGCCATCCAGGACCTCGCAGCGTGAGACCATATCTCCTCGCCCGGCAGCCTCGTCTATGCAGCAAGAGACTAGGGACTTTACCGAAGTCGCCCCCGTGGGCTACGCCCTCCGCACCCCTTCTCCCGTATGGAACAGAAAGCCATGATGTTTTTAAGCAGAACCAGCGAAACCCAAGCTTCTCCCTCCTCTTTGGTGTTCAGAGCTATAAAGGAGGTGAAGGAGGAAGAGGTGACTGAGATCTCTTGCGCCGCAGTCTAAGGGGTGAGGGTGAAGGTGGTCTCTTCGCACAGAGCCCCCTTAAGGTGAGGGAGGTGGTCCCATTCTCGGGGGAGTGTCCAGCTGAAGGATCCAAGACAACACCTAAGGCACAGCAAGCCACAAAGCAAAAGAACAAGGTGCAGGTGACCACTGCAGAGGGGCATGGAGGTTAAGTGGAGAGAGGACTTAATGAGGACTGAGGAGGGTGAGGTGGGAGAACCATTGCTGCTAGGGGCAGCTGAAGGAGGCTCAATAATTAGCAGACGCTTGTAGAACTGGGATGGCTTAAATGCCTCCTCTTTCTGGATCGCAGCCTTTTGGGGCAACCATCAGGAGGTCAATCAAGGCTTTATTCAGACTTGGCACTTGCCGCTGGAAATCCTGCCTGCTTGATCTCTGCAGACAAGATCGTGAAAACTCCTTGGCTTCCAGTTCTTTCTCATCGGTAGCAGGTCTCTGGGTATCTCCTCTCTCTACCCCCCGGGACCCTTTTCCATGAGGGCACAGAACACATCTCATAGCCCAAAAGGTGGGCAGGCCTAGTCCAGCTGAGATGGTGGAGCTGGCTTTGACCCGGGGCTTACGAAGCTGGCATGGCAGAGCCTAGGTCACAGGCCTGGAGAGCCCCCCACCGTCGTCAGCAGCTCCACATAGTTCCCAGGGAAGAATCCAGTCCCATCTGAACTGACGCCCTCACACCAACCATCGGAGTAGCGGCGGGTGACACAGATGATGGTGCCCTCGGAGAAGGAGAGTTCATTGTCCTTCTGGCGAGTGTATGGGTACAGTGTCACCACTGCAAGGTGGGAGGAGAGGGTGCTGTGAGATGTGCCCCTGGCCCAAATGTTGGGTTCTAGGGAGCAATCTAGGGGAGGAAGCTGCAGGGAGCTGGGCAGGAGGTGTCTTCTCCTACACCCTCAGGACCCCTCCCCAGCTCGGCTCATATTCCATACCAGGCTCTCCCTCTCAGTTTGATTCAGAGAAGGCTCCTAGGTGAACATTGGCTCAGTGCATCAGAGAATATGTGCTGGTGGATGACAGGCTCAAATCTTTGTGGGGGCAGGGAGAATGCCTTTTGGCAGTGAAGAACGGGGGTCAGGGCTGCAGAGGCCAGAAGTGCCACCCAGGGGCTGGTGCCCTTCAGTTCCGGGTCTCAGGTACCTTTCTCCAAGTATGCAGCAGGGACCCAGTTGGGGTCATCAGGGCCAAAACCTGGGGGCGGTGGAGGCAGCAGACCCAATTCATCTACATCCAGGGGTGGAGGCAGGGGCAGATCCAGCGGCGGGGGCAGCTCAGGAGCTAGGAGGGAAAGCAGAAAGGCTACACTCACCCCAAGAAACTTCCTTGCTCAAGTGTAGGACCCGAGGATCCATTCATTTTTATATAATCTTCCTCTAGTCCTTGCCCACCCAGTTCCTCCCACAATGCCTCTAGGCACGTCGTGGGTGCTCAGTAAACACTGAAAGATTACATCAACAGTGCAAGGCAGTCAGACTGCCACTTATTAGCTGAGTGACCCTTGGGGCAAGTAACTTCACTCAACCTCTTGGCCTCAGCTTCTTCATCTGCTAAATGGGAGGGTAAAGCTCCTCTCAGGGTGTTAAGTTTAAATGAAAAAATGGATGAGGGCCAAGTATAAAGTTTATTTCCTCGGCCTCCTTTCCCGCCTGTTAACCTCCGCTTAGGATGAAGCGCTCACTGAACCGGGCCAGGTTTGATACTAGAAGGCTAGGGTGGGGAGGAGTATCCGGTGAGCAGGTGACTCGGGAGTTGAGAGGGTGGAGCTCCTTACCGGGTGGGGGCGGAGACAGGTCCTCCAGCGGAGGGGGCGGCAGGAAGACGTCGGCAGCTGGCGGGGGTGGGGCCATGGAGCCGGGAAGGGGCGGGGGTGGCGGGGCCGCCTGCCCCTTGGTCGTGGAGACACCACCGACCCCTTCGGCGCTGCTGAAGACCAGAGAAAGGGGCTGGGCTCTATTGCGGGCGCTTTCTCGGACTCGGCATCCCCCAACTGCCCGGCTCCCTGACTCTGCCCTGGCGGTTCCGAGCGGTCGCGACCCCATTAGTCACCATGACAATGGGCAGGTGGCCCCTCTCAAGCACCCACCACCCAGCCTGGTAGGGCTCACCCGGCCGAGGTCAGGGACGAGGCGGACGAGGCGGCAGAGAGGTGGCCGTCGGGCATCACCGGGAGATGCACGGGCTCGGGGATCCGGGGCGGCCTCCTGGGGGTGGAGGGAAGGACTGTGAAGGGGGGAGGCGTCTGCGAGCAGGGAGGGGTGCAGTGGGTGGGGGGGAGAGGAAGTTTGGCGCCGGGCATTGGGGCGCAGATGCGGCAGTGGAGTGTCAGGATCGGAAGAGGACTGGGCCACGTTGGTTTGGATCCCGGCGAAGCCTCACCCCAGGGTGGCGGAAGCTGGTGTGGCAGGCGCCTTGATGCTCTTGCGAGACAGGGTCCCGGTCCGCGACAGTTGCGTGCTCAGGTCCTGTGAGGTGGGGGGGGGGGGGGGGGGGGGGGGGGGGGCCCTCTTTTCCCAGGGGGCCCCCTAGCCCCCACCCTCATCCCAGAGAGGAAACGGGTGAGGGAGTGAAGAGAACTCAGAGGAGACAGCAAGTTCCCATTTCCACTTTCCAGCCCACTACCCCCCGGTCTCGCTCGTGGCCTGGGCCCTGGGCCTCAAGCTGCTGCAGCCCTGGACGACAGAAACCTCGGGGCGCAGACACGGTCTGGTGGCCACTTCCTCTGCAGAACCGCAGCGGGCTGAGCGGGGCCCACCACTCCTGCCCCCTCCTCAAACCGTCTCGGAGCCCAGGGAGCTGCAGGCCGGGCCTGGTGGTCCTGAACTATGATTAGACTCCCACCCCAGCTTCCTGAGGGGAGGGGGCACAGCACACTTAGAAGTATCCCAGCTGTCATTTCTGCAGACCGGTGGGACTGGCTTTGGGGAACTGAGGGCAGAGAGGAGCAGGTACTAGGACACTTGGAGTGTAAAATGTCACATGTCACTGATGGGGGTTCCCCTTCTTTGAGGGTGGGTGCACGGAGAATGATATTCTCTGTTTGCTATGCTTCACTAGGAACAAGACAAAAAGAACTTGAGCTGAAGCATAAAAAAATTTAATGGAGACTAGAAACTTACTGGTGGGAAGGCACGGTGAGGGGAGGAAGGAGTGTAGGTTCTCATCGAAGGTGGACTGTGGACACGGGAACTGACAAAATGGAATGGGGGGATGTGCCCTCTCCCAGCTCTCAGGAGATGGGCTGAAAAGAAAATGCCAGAGTCGTGTGCTCACCTTTTCCTACATCCCCTTTGAGTGGCTGCATCCTGCCCCTTCCCACCCACAGCAGCTCTGGGGTGATTGCTCAGTGCGGTGACCTCAAACCCCAGACAGAGGAAGTTACTGTTCTCATGTGGCTGGGAAGCCGTTCTCATGCACACCCTGACATCCTTCCAGGCCCCTCTTCCCCTTCACACCCAGCACCCACAGTGGACGGGGGAGGAGGGCCTCAGGATGTCACACTGAGCAGATCGTCTTATACAGGGTAAAGGCCAGTGATGGAGGGAGGGGGTCATGGGAAGATGAGAGAATTTGCGGAGGGGGAAGGAGTCTCAGAGCAATGGCTTCAGAGAATGGGAAAAGAAAGGAGCTGCAGGTTGGGACAAGAACAGGGATGTGGAAGAGACCTGGGCAGCTGGAGAGAAGGGAGACAGGAGAGGGAGGATGTGGGGAAAGAGGAGGGGCCCCTTTCTCTACCTTGATCCCATGGCCAATGTCATCCAGGCAGCCAAAATTGAGGGGTTTCCTGTAGTAAGGTGTGAGAGGGGGCAGGCTGTCAGGGGCGATGATCTTCTGGCCTGGGGGCAGCTGCTGGACAGCAGCCAAGGTGCCGATCTCCCTGCGCGCCACCTTCTCCATGTGCATGTTCACCATCTGCGTGACAGAGTTGGGAGTGGCAATGGGGCATCTTTCCAATAGAGACTTTAGGGTGGGGATAGGGACCATGGGAGGCAGTGAGTTCCAGAGAGAGAGTGAGCTTTGTCCCCAAGGCTACAGAGCAATTGGGAAAAGAGTAGCAGGGGAGGATGGAGCCACTTTGGAGCAACTTCCTGGTGGAAGGGAATGAAGGTTATTATTAGCTGAGCAGGAACAGGAGGAAAAGAGAAAATAAAATCCCTGGGGAAGCTGGGAAGAGACTAGAGGACCGGGCTGGCTCAGAAGAAGAAGGGGGTGAAGTGGAGGTGGCAGAGGATCTTCCTGGATCAGATCTCTTCTTTAAGGGACAAATGAATGAATGAACTTCCTCTTGGGATGTTCTGTGGAGAAACAGCATTGAGAGGGCAGGGACTCTAGTTTGGTAGGGTGAGAGGAGAAGGCTTGCCCCACGCACTGAACATGTGGCTGATGCACAGGCCAGAGCCAAATGTGTAACTGATCTGTGTGTGTACTTAATGGGGCAATTCCTCGGTCAAGGATCCAGGAAGGAAGGAGGAGGGTGTGTATGCTAGAAGGGCGGGGGGCACTGTGTGGTGGTGGCCGTGCTTCCAGGGCTGACGATGTCCTTGCCAAGAAAGCACACGGGCTCTAGGACATTTCTCAAGTCACTGTCTTCAGATGGAAACAGGGTCCATTCACCATTTTCCTGTACTGTGCAGCCCCTGTGATTGGTAGAGCCAATTTTCTAACTGCAGGGTACAATTCACAGAAAGAAAAAACCCTGCCTTCAGGTCGCTGTAAGTCAGAACCGACTTGACAGCACATAACAACAAGGAGCTCCTAGTCAGATGGACAGCAAGACCTACCACAAACACAAAGCCACAGAGATAAGGGGGCTCCAAAAGCGTGGGAAGTGTCAGCCTTCTGTGGTAGTCAGGCCTTTGGCCATGGAGGAAGGCAGGGAGAGACTTCTGCTGGAGAAAATGTCCGAATGGGGCTGAAGAGCCAGGGGCTGATGCAGGAAGCCTTCCTGTACCCCTTACCTGGCCCAGGGTGCTGACACGGGCTTCCACCTGGCGCAGCGCGGCTGCCTGCAGGTCCAACATGCGCAGAGTGTGGCCGGCCAGGTTGCCCACCTGGTAGGCCACACTGGCCAGTGCCTGGGTGGTGAAGGCCATGGTCTCTTCCAGTGCCTTCCGCTTGTCTGTGGTCTGAAACACACACAGCCCTGGCCTGAGGCCAGCGTATTTCCCTGGGTCCTTGGCAGGGTGCGATGGGGTGGGAGGAGACATAGGGAAGGCAGGGGCTGAATTGGGAGGAAGATGCAGCAGCCTTTAGAGGTTTGAGGTAGTTTCCATAAGGATCATGTTGTAGCAAGAGGGATTTAAATGACATTTGGAAAGCAAATCTGCAGTCCTGGGGAATGTGTGCAATGGGAGGAAAGATAGCCCCTCTCAAATGGCCTGGCTGGGGATGGAGTTGAGATGGCCCTGCCGCTTTTCTGGGGAACTGAGTAACGAGCTGTCCTGTTAGGGGATAAGGGATGACTAGAAGAAAGCGAAGAGGAAGAAAAAGCTGGATGGAGGGCACATTCTTAAACTTAAAAACAAAGAACCTGCTCCCTCCCCAGATCCAACCAGAATCCCCTAGGAGTGAGACCAAGGAATCTGCCTTTAAAAGCTCCCCAGGTGACCCTTGTGCTCCTTGTTTAGCCCTAATCCATAGGTTAGTGTTTGGGAACCAATGATCTGGTCCATTTTACAGATAAGGAAACTGAGTCCTAGAGGGGAGTGTCTTCATTCATTCCCTCCAATAGCTTCCCAATACACTGAGAATAAAATCTAAACTTCTAACCATGGCCTCCCCACAAAGTCTGGCCCCTGCCTTTCTCTCTACTCTCATCCTCAGTAATTTCTCCTCTCACTTACTCCCGTCTAGCCACACTGGCCATTGTGACTGGAACAAGCTAAGATTGTTTCTACCTCAGGGCCTTTGCACTTGCTATACCTTTTTCTAGAATCCTTATATTAGATCCCAGTTCCTCAGAGACACCTTCCTTCACCACCCTATTTAAAATTTCCCCCACCCACCCTGTATTCAATCTCTATTGTTACCCTGTTTTCTTTTATTTGTGGCACTTAGCACTATCAGAAATTCTCTTTTTACTCTTTTATTATCTATTCCTCTCTCTCCCCACTAAAATGTAAGTGCCATGAGGACAGGGAACTTACTGGTTTTATTCTGTTTCCTAAGGACCTGGAATAGTGCCTGACACACAAAGACACTTAATAAATATGCGTGTGGGAATTAATTAATGGACTGAATGAGAATCCAGGCACTTCCTGGGCGTCTTCCTACTGCATGTCAGGCACCGTGCCAAGCTCTGGCTGGAGTTGTACTGCCAGTCAGTGGTAGAGGGCTAGGCAAGGGAGTGGTTGAAGACCAAACTTCTTGGGTCTTCTGGTTCCTCAGGCTGATTCCTCATCTCAGCCAGGCTTGGGTCATGGAATTGCTGTCCTCTAACAGGCACCTTTTTCCCCAGGGGCAGGAGGGCAAGGCTAGCAGACTGACAGGCAAGGCTGCATACTGGGGTCTCTTTGCTGGGGCCCTCGGGTGCCCTACAGGACTTGTCAGTGGAGAGCAGGCCTAGAACTATCAGAGGAGGGTCCTGGGTGTCTCCAATGCTGCCTGAGCCAGACTGGGGCTAAGGGGTAGGCCCAGCCCCTCGTGGACAGCCCCTCCTGTGGTTCTCCCCTAGGCTTCCCTTCCTGCTGCTTTTTCTAACAGAAGAGATGCTCATTTGCATGTCCATTTATATGTCATCAGCATATGTAACCAAGAGCCTTAAAAAGGCAAAGAAATCAACCCAAACAAACAAAAAAAAACACCAAACAGATTGCCCTCAAGTAGATTCTGACTCATAGTGATCCTGTAGGACAGAGTAGAAATGCCTCATAGGGTTTCTAAGGCTGTAAATCTTTTCAGAAGTAGACTGCTGCATTTTTCTCCTACAGAGCCGATGGTAGGTTTGAACTGCCGACCTGTTAGCAGCCAAGTGTGTAACCACTGTGCCTTCAGGGCCCCTCAAAATCAGCCCAGCATGTTAAAACCAGATAGGATAGCAGAGCTTGTTCTAGTTCAGGGTCTTCCTTTAATAGGTGAGCTTTCTTAGCTCACCCCTAGGTTTCTTAGCACGCCCCTATTCTCCCATACTCCCCAGACTAGCATGTAGAATTGTCAGCCCAAACAGGAAAAGCAGCTGCTTGGGCCCAGCTCTGAGAGGCTAGAACCTGGACCCCCGCTGACCCCTGGCTTTGGTCTTGACCCAAAGTTAGGTCTAGGCAGAGAAGGGTCTGGGATCCATCTTCAAGGCTGACTACTTGTTCATATGCAAATAACCTTGTCTGTAAACTTGGTCGACCCTGACTTGAGGTCTCTGTTGAGCACAGATCTGAAATTGACGCCAGCTTGCCCTGTTCCCTGTGGGTTTCCTGACACCTGGTTGGGGGTGAAGGGGTAGAGGCTGTGAGAACCAGGCCTCATTAAGAGCAGTTCTGAAAAGTCATCCAAAGCTTTCCTAGGCATTTGCTCTCCAGACAGAGATCCTCAGAGAGGCCTGGAGAGCTAACTGGTGGTGTGGTCTAACAGTTAGTGTCCTACATGAAGGAAGTAGGAGTCCTGGGATTCCAACCTGGGTCAGGGCTCCCCATGCCCTGGGTGTCTTTGCAAGGGCTGCTCTACCTCTTTACAAGTGAGTTTTATTATCCATAATTTGCCTTTGAGCTCTGTAATTAATAACAATGATAGTAATGGTAATGGTAATAACTGCCATTTATCCTGCCCTTCTTAAGGGACAGGCACTGGGCTAGATGCTTTAATACACTATCACAATTAATCCAAGTAGACATCCCTTAAGGAAGGTGTAAGAATCACAGAGGGGAAACTTGCCACAGGTCTTGTAGTTGGTAGATGGCAAAACTGGACACGGGACTCGGGTCTTTGTGACCCCAAACCCTGTGTGCACACCATGTGTGCAAACAAAAGCCTACCCAGACACACGCTGAGATTTGCAGAAGGTATTGAAAGAATGGAACCAAACCAAAAACCAAACCAGTTACCGTGGAGTTGACTTGTCTCCGGGCAACCCCATGTATGTTAGAGTAGAACTGTGCTCCACAGGGTTTTCAGTGGGTGATTTTTCACGAGTAGATTGGTAGGCCTTTCTTCCGAGGTTTCACTGGGTGGACTCAAGCCTCCAACCTTTGTGTTGAGCGTGTTAACCATTCGCCCCACACAGGGACTCCTTGTTGATAGTAGGAGCATATCTTTCAGGGCTGGGAGAACAGAGCTGGTGTGTAACCTATGTTCTCTCATCTACAAGGCGGTCACTCACTGTCTACACAGACTGAAATTATACCTGGGGTAGCATTTTCAGCTGGAGATTTGGTAGGTGGACTCTGGAGTTGGATTTCTGGGTTCAAAATCAGGCTCTGCCACTATCTTGGAGACCTTGGGAAAGTGACTTGGTCTTTGCAAATCTCAGCTTCCTCATTTGTGAAACAGGATGGCATTACTTCCTAAAACTAGGGTGAGGACTAACTGAGGCAATGCAGGGAACATGCCTGGCCCCGAGCAAGGGCACAGAGCATTGTAAATGTTATTCGTATTGGCTCTCTTTAATCTGCCATTTTCTCATAAGCACTTGATCTTTTTTTCCAACATATTCTGTGCTAGGAGGTCCCTGTGCCTCTTCTCACAGTTGGGTTAGTCCAGGTTAGAAAAATGAAATTTTGTCCAAGTGGTAGGTTACACAAAGGGTTAAGCACTCAGAGACACCTCAGAAGAAAGGCCTGGAGATCTACTTCCAAAAAGTCACAGCCTCAAAAAATCCTATGGAGTGCAGTTCTAGTGTGCAACACATGGGGTTGCCATGAGTTGGAAATGACTTGACAGCGATTGGTTTGTTGTTGTTTTTTGTTTTTTTTGGTAACAGATTAAGCCTGTGACTCTTAAGGGAGCAGAGGAAACTGAGGACAGAGAGGGCCAATAAGTGTCTTAAAGGCATACAGCACGTCAGGGAGGGAGAATGATGGAGAGGAATGGGCTCGGCTTCAGAAGTCAGGGAGGCCTGGGCTGATGCCAACTCTGCTGCTTCCACACTGTATGACCTTGGACAAGTCACCTTACCTCCCTGAGCTGCTTTTTCTTCATCTATAAAATAGAAAAAATAATACTTGCCTCACTAGGCAGTTATGAGAATCAATGAAATAACAGAGGCGCTCAATAGTAGATCCAGGAATCTACGTTCTCAGTCCTGGGACAATCACACAATTTTAAAAAACTTCTAAAATTCCACATCCTCATCTTTTGCTGGTAGTCAGCTTCAGAAGTCATGTTGTCCATCCCCCTGCCTCTGTGTCAGCCCTCCCCTCTTTACCCCAGCCGAGTCTGACGTCTCTCAACTCTCCCTCAAGGTATCAGGGAAAGAACTCCACTCCTTCTTTCCCTTGTCCATCTCAAGTTCACCACCATAGTTGGAAAGTTCTGAAGTATCTCTTAAAGCCAGCCTGCAAAGGGAATGATGGTGCCACCAGTGCTCTGGGTTTGAGTGGGAGGGTAAGAGGGACCTGAAGCTCAGGTGAGGCTGGATGCCAGGATGGAATAGCTCTGGCCCAGGCCTCTCTGAGGCTCTGGGAAGGAGAAGCGGCACAGCGGTAGCTTGGGTGGCATGGGTTAGGGTTAGAGTTTTGGGGGCGGGGATGAAACCAAAGCCTGGCCTGGGAGGTTTCTCACACCAAGCCCAGCATGTCTGCTGAGCCCTCTCTGGCATCTGTCAGGCTGGCTCCCATGGCCCAGCCCTGGGGATGGGCTCTGGGGCCCCTCGCAGGGCTGGGGTGCCCTTGCCTGTGCCTGCCCCACCTACCTGAACATAGTTGTCCTCACAGTAATCGGCAACCCGCAGCAGGGCGCTGTGGTTGCCCTGCAGAGCCTCCCGGCCTGTGGGGATCTCAAACTCCTGCAGCTGCTGCAGCTCCGCCATGGCCCCCAGCTTCTGGCTGCTCCCCGGGGAGCCCGTTGGTTTTGAGCTTCACCCTGCCCTTGATTGGTTGCTTTGGCTTCCCTCCCTCTGACTGCTTTTGGTTTCCTCTGTGTGAGAGACCCAAACCTGCTTGCAAAAGGCAGGGAGGCTCATTCTGGGACAAGAGGAAGTCAGTCCCTGCTCCCTGGGCCTGTGCTTCTCTGTCCCCTGCCCAGAGGAAAGGGGAAGCCAGGGACCCCTTTAGGGGCCCAGCCCCTCAATCCTTCCCAGCAGAGGAAACCAAGGCCGGGGCAGCTGTGATTGCTCCCTAGTCCTGGAGAGGAAACTAGACGCTGGGGGGATGGGGTGGGAGACTGAGGAGGAAGGGGGCCGGCCTACTATGGGGGGTGGAGATGGATTTTCCACTCAGGGAAGGGGGAGGAAGGGCAGAGGGTGGGAGCTTCCTTGGGAAGCCAGAGGATGATTCACCAGGGGAGGGGGGTGTGGAGGGTGGATAGGCTATGGAGATGGGTCATGCTGGGGGGAACTTGGGGTGGCAGTGCCCCACCAATGGAAAACAATGATGCAGCAGCAAGAGGAATCAGGGTTAGCACAGGAAGGACACGCCAAGAGGGTCCCTGAGAAATGTTATCAAGCCTCTGAAGGGTTAAACCCATTGCAGTCCATTTGATTCTGACTCAGAGCGACCCTATAGGACAGAGCAGAATTGTTCCATAGGGTTTCCTAGGCTATGATCTTTATGAAAGCAGATCGCCCGGTCTTTCTTCCGAGGAGCAGCTGGTAGGCTCTAACCACTGACCTTTTGGTGAGCAGCCATGTGCTTAACCACTGCATCACCTGCTATACGTGCTCTGTGTTTAACGAAGGCAGGACAAGACGAAATTGACCAAATGTAGTGTGAGACTCAGATTAGACAACATGAAGGACTTGAATGTGAGAAGCACTAAGTTCAAATTCTAGATCAATGTATCCATTTTAGGAAGCAGCAGTGGACAGAGCACTGAGCTGGGCTTAGGAGGCATGGGCTCTACTTCACACATTAATAAGGGAGTTGGACTTGACGACCTTCAGGGTCCTGCCCTGGTCTCAGATTCTAAGATTTCACAGCTGTGAAGGGGACTTGGATCCTGGTGCAGGGGATGGTGAAGGCCAGGATGAGCCACAGGCCTTCTCCTCTCCCCTCCCAGTGTCCAGTCTGTCATCCTGGAGGCAGGAGAATGAAAGAACCCATCATCGACCTTTTTTCCCACCAGTTGCCATTGAGTCAACTCCTGGCGACCCCCTGTGTGTCAGTGTAGAACTGGGTTCCATAGGGTTCTCAGTGGCTGATTTTTCAGAAGTAGATCGCCAGACCTTTCTTCTGAGGTGCCTTAGGATTCAAACCTCCAACTTTTCAGTTAGCAGCAGGCGTGTTAACTGTTTGCACCACCCAGAGGCTGCATCTTGGTCCCTTAAGGCACCTGCTGTGTGAGAGGGTCCCTTTGCTCAGTGTCTATTAAAAGACATAGCCCTCCAGTGGCCCTAGGAGGAGACAAGAGAAAGACCAGTATGTGGGCCCTGTGCTGGGGACTGTCCTAAGGGAGACCCACACTCAGGGGTCAGAGGGAGGTGAGGCGGCAAAGCAGCAGGGACATAGGCGTTAGAGGCAACCGCCGCCCCAAGTGTGAACTGGCACAGCGCGTAGGTGAGAGTACATCTTTAGTGAATGAGTGAATGAAGGCTGAGCTAAGAGAACCTTGTAAGGTGATATTTCGGGCGTCCAAAGGAGCACACGAAGGCTTCATGGATGAAGGAAATAAGGAGCTGGTATAGGACTTGCCTCATTGGGAAGAACAACCTCAGCATAGCCTCAGAGGTGAAGAGGGGAGGGCTTAGGAGTGAAGGCAGGAGGAGGGGAACCTGTAGAGCTGGAGGGTAGGGTTTGGGGAAATGGGGCTGGTGGGGGCTCTGACAGGTCCCTGGGTGGGGCAAGCAGTTTGCACTTGCCTATTAATCAAAAGGCTGACGGTTTGAACCCACCCAGCAGCACCATGGGAGAAGGTCCTGGCAATCTGCTTTTGTAAAAATTATAGCTTAGGAAACCCTAGGAAGCAGTTTTAGTCTATAACACACAAGGTCATCATGAGTTGGAATTGACTAGATGGCAAGGGGTGGGGGCTCTGAACCAGGGACATACTGAAGGCAGTGGTGGCTGATGCAGGGGGCAGGGTGATAAAAAGATGGGCTAGAGTCAGAAAGATTGGCGGTGGCCTCTGTTTCCTAGCTTACAGTGGGAAAGACATCAGCATCTCTGCTCCGGTGCCAGGGAGGGCTTGGGGGCTCAGGTGGTGGATGGGCTTAGAACCTTGAGCCTCTGATCAGCTTAGGCATCAGAGCTTTGGCTTCCAGACCATCTGCTTTATCTGAAGATTTTCGGCTGGTGAGGAAGAGCTAGGAGGCTCAAACACCATCTTGTCTGGGTCCAGCACAAGTAGCTTGGAAGTGCACTCTCCTTCCTGGCAGGTGAGAGGGGCTGAGGTTGCACTGGGCTGGGATGTAGTCTTGAGGTTAGGCCCTAGGCAGGCCTTAGTGATAACTCTGTAATAATAATGATGATAATAATAATACCAGTAATAATAATAATAATAAATGTATTAAGTGCTCGTTATGTGCCGGGTAGTGAACTAAAATAGTTATATGCATTTTTTTTTTTTAGTGTTTGTAATAATCATGTGATAGCTGCTATTACTATATTACACCCATTTTGCAGATGGGAAAACTAAGTAAGACTCAGGAAGGTTGAGTGACTTGCTTAAGGCCACACAGTGAAGGGGGCACCGGAGCTGAGATCACAACTAGAGTCTGGCAGGCTCCAGAGCCCATTCTCTTAAGCACTAGGGTATACTCTCCCCTGCCAGGACCTGGGGACAAAAAAGAAAACTTCTACCCCAGTCATTGTATGGAACACTAACTTTGCTTTCCAAATCTTCCTTACTGAGAGAAATTTCTTCTCTCTTCCTTTTCTATGCTCTGGGTTCCTGTTTCCTCCTTAGACAGGTTGTCAAGGGCAAAGATTATGCCTCCTCCTCCATTAGACTAGATGCTTCCTACTCTTCACAGTGAGACCTGGCGGGATGTAATGACTATATGTTGAGTGATGAGGATCCTGAACTGGGGGATATAGCAGGGAAGAAGATACAAGTTGGGGTGTGGAGAGTGCAGAGGAGGGATCTGGGGGAGCTGAGGGAGTTATAATCCCATTGCTGAATCCTTTCAGGATCAGGTCTCTCTAAGGCAGGATGGCCCAGGATCTCAGCGAGAAGGAGCTACTGAAGATGGAGGTAGAGCAGTTGAAGAAGGAAGTGAGGAACACAAGAGCTCCGGTGAGCCTCCTCTTTTCCTCCCCACTCTCTTCTCCATCCCTTCCTGTTCCTGATGGGATCTGGGGCATAAGGGAGGAAGTGGTGGAACCTTTGCAGGGTGCTAGAAGGAGCAGGAGGTGCTCTGGGATGGGGTAGGGAGAAGAAGGAGGCTGAGGCTTGACCCCATGGAGATGCCACACTTTTCTGAGCACAGGAGAGAGCCTCAGAGCCTTGGGAAGCTCAGCGTGTTCAGCCCCAGCTCTGGGCTGGGCATAGCAAAACACCTCACTAAGGTAAGAGTCAGATTTTGTGAGTTAGGGTCAAGGAACTCACACCCCTCTCACACCTGCCTATCCCCTTCATCTTTGTCCTCTCTGGCTTCTTGGGACTCACCGTGTCATGAATCCTGAGAAAAAATGAGGGCTGTATCCATATTATGTTTCCTCACAGATTTCCAAGACAGGAAAAGAAATCAAGGATTTTGTGGAAGCCCAAGCAGGAAATGATCCTCTTCTCAAAGGCATCCCTGAAGACCAGAATCCCTTCAAGGAGAAAGGCACCTGTGTGATAAACTGACGGCACTGAGGCCCCTTGCCCTGAACGCCTGTCTCTCCTCAGCCGCACTCCTCACCCAGAGCCATCCCAGCACAGACCTCCAGGGAACCAGTGACTCTTCACCTTGTTTGCACCTCCTCAGAACCCTGCCACAGACCTCTCAGTCACAGGAGTAAAGACATCTGGCTGAATGCAACGTGAATCTATTCCCTAATCTCATTTTCAACTCTTTTCTCCCATCTTCTCCTCTACCTGCTGGGTCACTGCTAGCCCCACTTGGAATCATTCTTCACTGGCTTAGCAGTTGGCACCATATGTGGTGGGGCCTGAAGAGCCTGTGATACCCTAAGACTCCAGAGGGCAGTCCTGACGAAACACCTACTTCTCTTTAGAATCAGTCCCATTTTTTCCCCTCACTCTCTTCCTGGTAAAAACGGTTTCCACATTAGAGTAGTTTGGAGGCCAGGGCTGCAGGTGGTTGCTTTTCTCCCATCTCATGTCCTATCCTATGGTCCTTCTCCTAGTTGTTTAGATCCCCCAGATGGCCTGATGACAAAAAGAGTTTGAAAGTCACGACTTCCTGATTTATTTAATATCACTGGGTGCCTATTATGTTCTGGGCACTAGGAATGGAAGATTGCACAAGACTAACAGGTTTCTACTCCCATGGAATTTAGCCAAGAAGACATGAAACAAGCAATTTACTATTAAGTCAATAGGTGCTACTAGAGGGAAAATCAAGGGTGGTGTGGGGACAGACAGTAGACAGCAGCTATCCTTGTTAGGTGGGGAGGGGGTCAGGAAGAGTTTCTTGGAAGAAGTGACTTTTAAGTTGATACTTGAAGAGGGACAAGCTGAGGAACGCAAGGAGGGAAGACCTCCAGATGGAGGCAAAAGCACGTGCAAATCCTGGAGGTGACTGAAAGTGTGGTACACTCAGGGCAGCAGGCAAGGTCAATGTGAACTGTTGCGTGCTGGTAAGGTGAGGGTGAGGGAGAGATAGGGAGTGAGAATACATGAGGCTGGAGAGGGTGATGGAGGTCAAGTCTTGATGGACCTTGTGGTAAACTCAGTTCAGGGCCTTCTTCTCATCCTAAGGACAATAGGAAGCATATGAAGGTATTTTAGCAGCAAAGGGACAGGCTTCAGTTAGCATTTTTACCCAATTTTTTAGCATATCACGGAGGGAGGATGGACCCTGCTAAGGGCTAAGGGAACAGTGATGGATGAGACTGATTCTTGGTCTTGTCATCAAGGAAATTACTGTCTGAAGGAGACGCAGAAGAACAGACAGTCATAATGCATTGTGCTCAGTGCAGTGCCAGAGAGGTCTGCATGGGGTATGATGGGAGCCCGTAGGAGGATGTGTGTTGTATCCTGGGAGGGAGGACAGAAAAGGCTTCTAGAAGGAGGTGATGTCTGAGTTGAGTCTTCAGGGTTAAGTCATAACTGGATGAACGGAAAGGGTAGTATAAACAGGGATATGAGTGTGAGGAGAAAAAGAAACATGGTTTGAATGGAAACACCAATCGGTCTGGAGGTGATGGACGGTAAAGAGGGAGGCCTAGATCCTTAGGACGGGCAGCTGCAGAGGGATGGGGTTGGAGACGATCAGGTCAGAGAGGTCTAGTTTGCTGTACGAAACAACCTTATCCACTGAAGGGTTTTAATCAGGGAGTGACTTGGTAATGTTTGTGTTTAGAAGAAAATTTGCATTGTGACAAAGGGAAAAGAGTAGGGACAGGGAGACAGATAAGGAGGTGGTTGTTAGATCAGGAGAGAGGTAAGAAAGGCCCCAGTTTGGATGGTGGCCATAAATCTAGAGATGGGGGATGGGTTGAAGAATTCTTGGGGAAATAAAGTTTTTAGATCTTGACAACTCATTGAGTGAGGGGTGCGGAAGAGGGAGTTGTCAGGGTTGACTCCACGTTCCTACCTTGGGGGAATTTACTAGACAGGACTGAAAGTAAGTATCTGGAAACAACCCTAACATACTACAGTGATATTAGGTATAGCTGCTAACTCTCTCAGCCTCCCCTCCCCAGCAGGAGACAACTCAAAGCCACATCTTGAGTAGTGGATTCCAGCTCCTAGCCTGAGTCTAGGGATGAGAATATAGGCCACTGTGCACTGCCCTCTGCTGGTGACTCTGGGGAGGGACAACACACTGTAGGCTCTCTACTTTCCCAAAAATGCGGTCCCTAGGGTCCTAATGAACCCCGGTGGCGCAGAGGATAAGCACTCGGCTGCTAACCGAAAGGTCGGTTGTTCAAACCTACTAGCCGCTCCGTGGGAGAAAGTTGTGGCAGTCTGCTTCCAAAAGATTTACAGCCTTGGAAACCCTATGAAGCAGTTCTACTCTGTCCTACAGGGTCTCTGAATCAGAATCAACTCCATGGCAACGGGTAGGGAGGGTCCCTTCACCAGAATAAAATTATTGAAAGGGGATCTGCAGACTGTTGTAAGGAGAAGAGAGAAGATCTCCCCTGAGCTAAAGGGGATGGAAAGTGTAGAGGAGAAGGAAATGTGGAGGGCAAAGAGAGGGTCTCAGAGAAGCTGGAGCTAGGAAGGGAAGGATAGGGTCCATGGTGGTGAGCTCATAGGCTTCCAATTCTCTAGGCTAGAATTTTACAAACTGTTGGTTGAGACCACGCTGGGTCATGAAATCAATTTAGTAGGTTGTGGCCAGCTTAAAAACATAAACACACACACACACACACAATAGAAAATATTCGTGTGTAGCTTTCCTTGCGGGGGCATCAGGGGTTCAGTGGTAGAATTTTCACCTTCCATGAGGGAGATCTGGGTTCAATTCCAGCCAACGTACCTCAAGCACAGCCACCACCCATGAGTCATTGGAGGCTTCCATGGTCTATGATGCTGAACCAGCAAAGCTTCCAGTCTAAGGTGGACTAGGAAGAAAGGCCTGGTGATCGACTTCCGAAATGGCTGACTTGACAACAGCTAACAAGCTTTACATATAGTAAGGATAATACAGTTTCTTAAACCTTTTGTTTCAGTTTTATGTCTGTGCGTGTATGTGTGTACTGGGTTGTGATGTAAAATATATTTCTAACTAAAGGTCTTGGTATAAACAAACAAAACCCCATGAAAGCCACTGAAGAAATGATGGAAGAGGTCATGGTGAGAGAAGTCCTGAGCTGGGAGTGAGAGTTCACAGTAGAATGAAACCTCAGAGTGGAAAGGCAAGATGGCTTTGTGAAGCCCGACCTCCACCTCAGTGCAGAAATCTCCCTACACCCCCAACTGACAAAGACCTTTGCACCTCCTTGGAACACTTCCAGGCGCCAGAAACGCAGTATTTCTTAGCCTTTTCCATTGAAGGACAGCTTAAATTCTTAGAAAGTTCTTCCTATTTGCCCCTCTAACTTCCACCCACAAATTCTCATTCTCTGCCTCTGTTGCAATCTGGGCTAGGCACAACCAAGCAAATAAATTAAGGCAGTATCTTGTGTCGGCTAAGTTTTTCTTTCTCCCCTCTCTCATATGAGCATTTATGCTTTTCACAAGTATATGAGCTTTCATAGTCTTCACCATCCTGGTTGTTCTTCTAGAAATTACCATTATTGAGCATACCATGGATCAGGTGCCTAGATAAGGATTTACACTATTTTAATGAATCCTCACAACCTTCTTGTGCAAGAGGCACCATTGTATCATTTTACCAATAAAATTGACTCAGAAATTTTTAACTGTTTTGTCCAAGTGCACCTAGCCAATTTCTGGCAGGATAAAATTTATCCTGTGTGACATCTGGAACTGAACATGACCCTCTGAATGTGGCTCAACTGGCTCAGAGTAGAGAAACTTTCTCTTGTCTCTCTGTAAACAAACTTTCATCTCGGAATTCTCATCTGTGACCAGGGCAGAATCATCTCTCTAGATATTTTCTGATCTTGAGAAACAGAACACATTTTCAGAATAGTATATACAACGTAAATATGCATTTTAACAAACTATTGTAAAGTCGACATCTATGTATCCTTCACCCTGGTCAAGAAATACACAAGTACCAGCACCCCCAGCAGACCCCTGCTGGCCCCTTTGCAACCACAGCCCCCTCCTTTCCCCAGAGGTACTCTGTAACCTAACTTGGTAATCATTTCCTTGCTTTGCCTGATGGTTTAATCATCTAAGTTTGCAGCTCTAAATAATATACAGCAGTTAGATTTGCCTATTTTGGAACTTTATATAAATGGAATCATACATGATTTATTCTTTCGTGTCTATCTTCTGCTTTAGCTCAGTACTTTTTTTTTTTTTTT